AAGGAAGGAAGGAAGGAAGGAAGAAGGAAGGGGGAGGGAGGGAGAAAAGGAGGAAGGAAGAAAGAAAGAAAAAGGAAGGAAGGATGAAGGAAGGGGGAGAGAGGGAGGACAGAAGGAAGAAAGAAAGGAAGGAAGGAAGAAGAAAGAAAGAAAGAAAGAAAGAAAGAAAGAAAGAAAGAAAGAAAGAAAGAAAGAAAGAAAGAAAGAAAGAAAGAAGAATTTTAGCCTCTTGTTTTATCAATGATTCACAAGCTGCAATCCAGGGGCTTCTGAACTGTCCATTTGTGAGATCGCTCTTGTGCTGGGGAAAGTCAGAAAAAAGAAGTGTGAAATTATAATTACACTTTGCAGAAAGAGGGAGGATGGAAAGAGGAAGGAAGGAAGGAAGAAGAAAAGGGAAGAAAGAAAGATCTTTTAGAGGAAGGAAGGAAGGAAGGAAGGAAGGAATAACAGAGATGGAAGGGACCTTGGAGGTCTTCTAGTCCAACCCTCAGCTCAGCCAGGAAGCCCTGTACCCTTTCAGACAAGTAACAGTCCAATCTCTTCTTTAAAACCTCCAGCGTTGGAGCCCCCACAACCTCTGGAGGCAACTTCCCGTCCACTGAAGGAAGAAAAACCCGCTTAATTCAGGGGTCTTTATGGGAAGATTTGCTATGCTTCCTTAGCTGACGTCCCACCTTTTCATTTAAAAACAAAATCCCCTCGTGGGCAGGAACCTTCCTTCTCTCCCTTCCTCTTGAAACCTCTGCTCTTCTCCCTCAAACCTCAGTAGCTCCTTCTCGGCTCCTCCAGGTCGTAACCATGTCCTTTCTCCCTCCCACCCCCACCCCCGCCCACCCATGTCGTCTCCACCAGCTATGAACCTCTCCGTTCTCGGGAGCCAGCCGGAGCCGTGGACGATGCCACCCAACCTCCCTTGGTCCGGGCAGCCCAACGGGAGCCGAGGGCTGGGTTGGGCCGAGGTAGAGAAACTGCTCTTCCTGTTCGACGAAGATCCGCTCGTCCTCAGCCTCGCCCTCCTCTACCTGGCGTCCTTCTTGGTGGGGTTGGTGGGCAACGCCCTGTCGCTCCGGATGCTGACTCGGAAGCGGAGGGGAGCCATGCCCAGCCTGAACGCCACCCGCAGCCTCCTGATCAACTTGGCCATCTGCGACCTGATGGTGGTTTGCATCTGTATGCCCATCACGACGGGGAACCTGATCTACAAGGCCTGGGTCTACGGAGACTTGCTGTGTAGGGCGGCGCCCTTCATCCAAGCTCTCTCCGTCTCTGCCAGCATTCTCAGCCTGACGGTGATCAGCGTCAACCGCTATTACAGCCTGCACAACCCCTTGAGAGCCCGATCCTTCTTCACCCACAGGAAGATCTTGAACACCATCCTGGTTATTTGGGTCTTCTCTTCGGGCATCTGCATGCCCCTCGTCTTCACGAACCGGCGAGACGAGATCGGGGTGGGCCCCGCCGACGACGTCCCACTGGTGTTCCCCATTTGCCGCGAGGTGTGGCCCCGGGAAGAGCTCAAGCAAAGCTACAACGTCTTCCTCTTCTGCGCTCTCTACTGCCTGCCGGTCTCCTTCAACGTGGTCATCTGCTTCTTGACCGTCCGTCGGCTCTGGAGGCCCACCGGCACCCTGAGTGGCGCCTTGAAGGAGAACTTGCTGGCTTCCCGGCTGAAGATCCGCCGTACGGTGGCTCAAATGGTCATCGCCTTGGTCCTGCTCTTTGCCATTTCCTGGCTGCCCTTTTACCTGGTGGACATCTGGATAGAGTTCCACGGCCCCAAGTCCTTGAGGGACGAAGAGCCATCTCCTCTGGCCTTGCAACTACGGGCTTTTTCTCAATGGCTTAGCCTCACCAACTCCAGCCTGAACCCCATCTGCTACTGTTTGGTGGGGAGTCTCTACAGATCGGCTAAGGAAATGAGGAGCAGGTACCAGAAGAAGGTGGCTTCCCTTCTCAGCTCCTCCCCCTCGGAAAAGAGCTGGCTGTCTTCTCTTCCTGAGATGCTTTCTCACGGGAGGTCGGTGAACTCGACTATAAAAGAACCTGACTTAGCAACGCGAAAAGAAGGTAACAATGGCCGCAGCCACAGCTGCAGGAGCCTGGTCTAAGATCATCTTATAGATCAACTGCGGTTATGGTAAAGGTTCCCCTCGCACATAAGTGCTGGCCATTCCCGAACTCTAGGGGGCAGCGCTCATCTCCGTTTCAAAGCCGAAGAGCCAGCGCTGTCCGAAGACGTCACCGTGGAAGAATAAAGTCCTGTTCTTCGTGATCTGCAAAGGACAGCGTAGCGAACTCGTTATAGTAAGCTGGCCAGGTTTATAAACCATAATTTGGAGCTTTAAGACCTGAGCTAGGCAATCGTGGCCTGCCCAGGTTGCGAGGCTACAAGCAAGCCATGGCTTAAACACGATGGGCAATTGGATGGAAAGCGGTGGCTCGGGGGCTAAGACGCTGAGCTTGTCAATCAGAAGGTTGGCCATTTGGCAGTTCGAATCCCTAGCTCCGTGTAACGGAGTGAGCTCCCGTGACTTGTCCCAGCTTCTGCCAACCTAGCAGTTCGAAAGGAGTAGCAAAATTAGGGATCACCTTTGGTGGAAAAGGAACAGAGTTCCGTGCGCCTTTGGGGTTGAGTCACGCCGGCCACATGACCACGGAGACGTCTTCGGACGGCGCTGGCTCTTCGGCTTTGAAACGGAGATGAGCACCACCCCCTAGAGTCGGGAACGACTAGCACGCATGTGCAAGGGGAACCTTTACCTTCACCTTACACAGAGTAGCCTTGAGGCTCCCTTGAAGGCCCTGCTGCTTGAATTGTGAGATTTNGGATGGAAGGCTGAGTCAACCCTGAGCCGGTGAGATTTGAACCGCTGACCTGCTGATCTAGCAGTAGCCTGCAGTGCTGCATTTAACCACTGCGGAAAGGAAAAAGGAAAGAAAGGAAAAGAAAAAGGAAAGGAAAGGAGAAAAGAGAAAGGGGAGAAGGAAAGGAAAGCAGAAAAGAAAGGAGACCAAGTAGCGGAATTTTGAGTAGTTCAGAGAACCGGCAAATACCATCTCTGGCTGGCCATGCCCCCTTCTATTCTCTGCCTTCCGAGTCCCAGCTGATTGAAAGGGAACAGGGATTTTGCAGTATCTTTTCCCTGCCACACCCACCAAGCCACGCCCACAGAACCGGTAGTAAAAAAAAATGAATCCCACCACGGATCTACATTTGTGGCTTAGGGCCTTCAAGGAAAGTGTCTTCATGTGTGCAGCGTCCCAACTGAGGATTGTGTGTTTATACACACACTCTCTCTCTCTCTCACACACACAGGGCAAGCCAAGGTGAATGGTCCACTCTGTCTCCGGAAGACCAGAGAATAAGAGAGACAAGACAGATGAGATAACCTTCAGGGTTGCTTTTCCTGGCACACATTAAAAACCTGGGCATCTTTTTGTGGTGGTTTGGACAGGCGTGCTGGGAAGGGGGGGTGGCCCGGCGTGTGAGTGTTTCTGTGTGCATCCAATCGTTGTCGATTGTGAGCTGTGGCAGGGCGAGATGACCAAGTGAGAAATTATGACTTGCTGGGTGGGGAGGCAAAATTGGAGGGATGCAGATCATGACCGGCTCGGTGGGGGTCAGGGGGGGGCCCTGTCACTTGCACGCGTGAAGAGCATTTGCTGTGCTTCAGTGGAAGTGTGGAAGTGTGGAAGGCATACGAGGGAGCCCAGTTGCTTTGCTGCAGGCATCTTCCAGTGAGGCTCCTGAGTCCCCTTGGTTGCCAGATCCGCCTCTGCTCCAGGTAAGTTCATTTCTTTCCAAGGGCAGAGATTCAGGAGGCAGGCAGGGAGGGAGGCAGCCGAGTGTTTACTGCTATTGTTTGGAAATAAAGGATTAGCAGTTGGAAAAGAGGCTTGCAGGCACAGAATATTCCAATAGTTGGATTCTGTTCTCCCCCTCAAGAAATTCAGAGAGCTGATGCCTTTCCCCACCTCTTGTTCCTAGTAGTCGCGGGAAGAGAAGAAAGAAAGAAAGAAAGAAAGAAAGAAAGAAAGAAAGAAAGAAAGAAAGAAAGAAAGAAAGANCATAAGCATAACAGCTTCTCCGCCTGCTAACCCTCTTGAGTCCTGAACTAATGAAAAAAGATAAATGCGGTGTATGCCCAAATGCCAATCAAACACTCAACCTCCCTGCCACTCCGGAGACCAAGGAATGGAAACTCCAGAATCTGGGACTAATGACCTGGAAAGAAATGAAAATGACACGCAACACTGAAGTTGTCAGGTATGCGTTAACGCCCCGTGATAAAAGCTGGGATGTTGACGCCAATCCATCTCTTAACTGGCTCCCTTGCAAACAAAAACTCAAGGACATTAAAAGGCTCTTTGCCGAGAGAGGGAAATGGAGAGGCCTTTGGTTTCCCATGAGACTCAAATATGGCCTCCTGGATGTTTTGATATCTCGGGCGGGGGTATCGGCACGGAAGGCCCCACACTCAAAACTGGAAGATGATACAGCAACTGTCAAGTCAGCTGCCATCACACTGGAAAGAGTCAAAAGGAAGAGATACCATTCTTGATAAAGGTCGGATCGTAATATTAGCATTCCTGGTTGGTTTTTGGTTTCGTGGTCCAGACTGCCTCAAAGGCCTAGCCTTAGGCAATACATAATAAAAATAAATAAATTTGAAACGTCCCCTGAATTTCAGCTATGAAGGGACTCCTCATTTCGATGCCCCTTCCTGTATCCTGAGCCGATTTCCCTACAAATCAAGCAAGAATTGTGACTCTTGAATTCTCACCCAAAAAAAAACAACAGGATCTGATAAAGTCACTTTAAGAGTCCTAGGACAGTGTTTCTCAACCTTGGCGACTTTAAATTCTACGGACTTCAACTCCCAGAATTCCCCGAGCTGGGGAATTCTGGGAGTTGAAGTCCACAGAATTTAAAGTCGCCAAGGTTGAGAAACACAGTCCTAGAAGAACATATTGTCCAAATGCGCCCTCTTGTGGTGAGACATGGAGGTGCTCCGCAAATTGGCAGAGTTCTGGCTACCTAAGCCCCCTGCCTCTCCCCTGCTCCTCTCTTCCTCTTCCCCTCCTATCCTCTCTCCTCTTTCTATCCCTTTCTCCTTCCTCTCCTTTCCTCTCCCTTTCTCCTTCCTCTTAAAGTGACTTTACCAGATCCTGTTTTTTTTTTTTTTTGGTGAGAATTCAAGAGTCACAATTCTTGCTTGATTTGTAGGGAAATCGGCTCAGGATACAGGAAGGGGCATCGAAATGAGGAGTCCCTTCATAGCTGAAATCCAGGGGACGTTTCAAATTTATTTATTTT